GGGGGGAGAGGAGGGCAGAGTCTGTCCCTTTCTGCCCCATCTGCCAGGGGCGATGCGCCACTGCCCACTCCTCTCTCACTGGTGGGAGGAGGTGCTGGGGACCTGCTCTGCTCCTGTTGGTACTCGCTTTTGAAAAGCCCCTTACTCTACCATTTTCTATAATTCTATAGGGTAGATTTAGGTTCGATGAGGGAAGTTCTTTGCTGTGAGGGTTCAAGGCCAGGTTGGACAGGGCTTGGAGCAACCTGGTCTGGTGGAAGGTGTCCCTGCCCATGGAGGTTTGGAACTAGATGGTCTTTAAGGTCCCTTCCAACACAAACCAGTATATGATTACCTTTAAGGTACATTACAGGGAGTATTTCTTGCTTAGCCTAAATAAACAAGAGGCAAATGAGGCCCCTTGCTGCAGAGCTGGCTTTGCAGCTGTGGGTTTGTTCCCATTGTGCTTGAAAAGACCGGGGTGGGTGTCATTGGGTGATACTGCTCCGGGGGTCCCACTTCTGGACAGATGTGCCCTAGTGACACTTCCTCTGGTTATTGCCACTCAAAGCAACCCCAGGAGCAAGTCCCCAGGGGATGGGGGTTTGCATCCCTCTGCCTTGGGTGATGCAGTGGGGGGTACAACCTGCCTTGCTGGGTCCCTGTGTGTCCCTGCGGGGTGAGTGGCTTGGTGGGGCAGGCAGAAGATGCTGTCCTTCCTTCCCAGTGACGTCCACATGAGCAGAGACACATGCAGCTCTGTTGCAACTGTCTGAGTAGGAAACGAGACTGTTTTTAGCTTCTTCCCTCACCCCTTGGTTCCTGGGGTACTGATCAGGAGGATATTGGTCATCTAATCTGCCAGCCTGGAGCTTGGTGCCATCACAGAAGTTTACTGAACACGTGTTAATCCTTCAAACTCAAGCAGTCAGGAGGAAGGGCAGGAGTGTGGTGGTGGTTTCTGAACAGCCCCAGCAGAGTCCTGTGCAGGGTAGGTCACACATGGGGACACTTTCTGCTGTCACTCTCCCCACACTGCATGACGTGGCTGCTGATCTGCCTCCCACATGGCCCCCCTGGCCCCATCGAGGGGTGGCCAGAAGATGGGGGTGGGAACAGTGCGGGGGGCTGGGGGTGGCGCTGATGCTCACAGCTCTGCCCATGACGACCTGTGCAACGGGACCATAGCACCCTGGTCACCCACATCAGTGGGGTCAGGGCAGCAGGAGCTTTGAGGGTGGTCACTGTCATACGCAGTAGCAGCAACTCCAATGTCACTCGGGACATTTTTTCCCCTGTGAGTCATTGCACACAGGCGTTTCGCCCCTGCAATCTAGCTCTGACTCTGATGTTTATTCCACCCACGGTCCCTTTCTGCCTCTGGGTATCACAAGCGCCATACCAGCCTGCGTGGGAAGGGGATTTTTAACAGACCACGCCTGGCTTGCCTGACAGTGTGGTCTCCAGCTGGGTCATGGAGATGCTCAGTGCTGGGTCGGGGAATCCCGTGCAGTTGCTTTCCCTGGGTGCCACTTGTTGGCTTGCACCAGCGTGGCATCTGCAAACGTTGCTAAGCAGCTGCAGATATAAATACTTTCAAGCCCCAAATCTGTTGTGGCTGATACACCCTTGCAGCAAAATAACAGACTCAGTGAAGCTCCAGATGGGTTGTTTGTTGTTAGGGTTGCCAGGAGAGGGGTTTGGGTTCCACCCCAGGTTTCCTCTGGAACCTCAAATCGGACAGACAATGTGGGTGTCCTGTGCTGCTCAGGATTGTCTCCAGGGCTTGTGGTACCTCCTGCACCCAGTGCCGTATCTGTCAGCATCTGCTTGGGTTGGTGCTGGGGGGACAGTGGAGCTGGCACTGGGCATCCCATAGTGTTGGTGCTACATGTGGGTGACGGGGGTGACATGGGATCTTGTGCCAGCATTGTCCTGCCCAGCCTGCACCGACAACTGCAGCAATGGTGATGCTTGGCCTGACCCCCCAGGATGGACTTGTGCACATCATGGCAAGCAGACCCCTTTGCTCACAGAAGCTCTATCAGGTCCTCTGCTGGGACAGGGTGGGGAATTTTTTTACCTGGGGAATCCAGGCAGGGGTTGGGGACACACCTGGGTGGCAGGGTGGCACTGAGATGGGGGCTACGGCATCCATTGGCCCATGGGGGGACAGTTCTACAGCCTGGGAGGACCACTGCCTCCAGCCATGCTCATGCGACAGCTGAAAACCCAAGAGCAGGGAGGGCTGAGGCTGACAGAGGTGGTTAGTGGGGAGAGTTGGATGGCCGCTGTGCGCACGTGTGGTGGAGTTGCTGTAAAAATAATCAGCGTGAATGAGCACGTCCTGTGACACGTTGGTTCCTCCCCAGGGCCCCTCTTCCTGCAGCAGCTCGGAGGAGGCTGGATCAGGGCCAAGGAGCTCTGGGAGCAGCAGGACCATGCTGGACTTTGTGTAAAGGTCTTCAAAGAATCTTGAAGGTACTTTGGACCTGCCATGGTGGGAAGCCACCCTCTGGAGGCACCGGGAGCTGAGGGTGCTGGAGTTGCTGGGGACAGTCAGCCTCTGAGCAGTGCTGCCTGGGGGGTGCTGGAGCCCCCAGCAGCAGCTGGGAGCTGCTGGTCCAGACTGGTTGGGGTGCAGGCAGCAGAGGGCAGAGAAAGCAGGCTGCAGCTTCCCATCCCACCACGGTCAGTGGAGAATAAACTCAGCCTGAGCCAGGCTGGAGCAGGCACCCAGTGCCTGCACGGGTGGCCATCTGCAAAGCTGGCACAGCTTCCAGCCATGCATTCACCACCCTGCGGTCTGATGCCTGCTAACTGCTTGCTTGTTTTCTTAGAAGCAAGAGCAGTGCACATGGGGCCACCAAGGGACGGGAAGTGGCTAACCAGAGTCAAGGCAACTGCACAGGCCTCCTGCCTGCACCTTTTCCTTCAAGCCCAGCTGCAAACCCAGCCTTTCCAGAGGCACCGCTCCAGCACCGGGTCCCACACGCTCTTTTCATAGGGTCTCCAGTAAGCCTCCTCCTCAAGGGTGGGGGCATTCAACCCCAGCTGCAATGCCAGCCTGCAGAGGAACATATCTGTCATCCTGGGGACCAAATGGCCAGGCTGGGGCATGGAGGGGAAAGATTTAGCAGAGGTGGCCTGTAGCCACACAGGGGCTGGCTGGCAACGAGCCACCTCCCTTCTTTGCTGCATGAAGGGCAGCCAGAAACCTCCCTGGTGGCCATCACCTTAGGGACCACCAGAAGTTTTCCATGGCTCTCTGGTCCTCTTCAGACTGCTGAGCTGGTGCCCTCTCCTCCAGCAGCTGGGAGGACACTTGTGTGGTGCTGCCCAGGGCTGTGTGTGCTTGGGGATGTCTGTGCCACGCTGCATTTCAGAGAGGAACCACATCCTTCTAGGGAAGGGAAGTCCCTGGCTGCCCAGACAGTCTGGCTGTAATGATGCAAGGGGCTGTAACTATTTTGGGAGATAAGCTAACCATGGGGATGCCGTTTGCTGCTGCCTTTCTTTGCTGATAAGCCCTCTTACGTGCTTTGGGGGATCTTTCCACATTTACAGGAAAGAAGAAGTAGGACCCTTTCAGGTTTTCCAGCATGCTTTTTAACTGGAACTAGAGATCTGCGTGGGAGAAGGCACAGCTCTCATTGTAGCTCACATTTACCCTTCAAAGGCCCGCCCAGACCCCAGCACATCCGTGCTGGTTTGAGGGTGCTGGCTGGCAGCAGTGAGGGTGTCCCATCCTGCGGGGTGTGGGAAGGAGCACTGGCTCAGTGGGACCTGGCCATGATGCCAGCTCTGAGTCCTCACCAGCTGGTCCTCCTCCTGACAGGTTAATGTGAAACTGTCCACAGCTGTGCTGAGCAGATCATCTCTCGAGCCCTTCCTGCCCTACCCTGCCTGCCTGCCAGCCTGGGGGGTGCTGTCCTTGGCCCCCTCCTCTCTCCAGGGAGCTGCCAGCCCCAGCTGCCCCCAACCCAGGTTCTGCCTGTGGGAGGTGGACAAGCAGGTATCAGTGCAGGACCTGGGAATACCAAAGTCTCCATCACCTGAATCCCTGCCCAAGAACAGCCCTGGTGATGCCTGCAAGGGGCCAGAGGACCAGCTGGACTGCAGAGCAGAGCCTGAGATGTTTTCCTGGGGCAGATCCCCGTTGCCCCAAACACCAACTTGCTCCCCTCTGCTGCCTTTCACCACCTTGTCAGTGCAGCCAGATGCAGGCTTTGGGGTACATCTCAATTTTGGGGACCAAGGGAGGACAGGCGTGGTAATCCTGCCTGCCTCCAGACATAATGAACCCAACCACCTCTCAGGTCTTTAAACACTGGTCCTTGCCTTCAGCTACCATGGGCAGGAGACACCCCGCTGTGTTACGTGGGGTGGCTCTGCCTCTTCCAAAGGAGATCTGTGCTTAGGCAAGGGGGGAATGAACGTAGGCTTTTACCGCTCCCCTCTGTTGAAACTACTCCCCAGAAACAAACTTCCTTCCCAGAACCAAAAGGGGTGACGTAGCCTGGTGTCACCAGTCAAGTCAGCTCTCCACTGTCCTTGCCCACAGCTTCCACCACAGAGACAGCAGAATTTAGCTGCAATGCTGTGAAGAGATGTGAGACCATAGAGGGATCCAGTGGGAACATAGGAGACTTGGGGTGTCCGAGGGGGAGTCCCCAGGATGGCCAGCTCAGCAGCTGGAGGGAAAGGCAGGATAGGGAGAAACTGGTTGGCACAGGGCTGCAAGGAGAGCTGTAGTTTGGGCTGAACAGCCTCAGACCCTGATTGAGAGTGATGGAAACATGGCAACATGGCCTTTATGGGCCAGGCAAGAGGTTAGGGGCTTCAGTAGCCATGGTGGGCTCAGGCTACCTGCACAGAAGAATGGTGCAAGGATGAAGTTGGCCAAGCTGCAATGGGCAGTGGGGTGGAGGAAGGTCTCCATCACGCACAGACCCAGACTAAGTGTGCCTC